TGAAAAGGGTTGTTGTTTTATAATGACTTTACTCTCGTAATATTACAACTTTTTTCTTTAATTAATGTTGTTAATGTTACGACTTTATTCTCAATATGGGCCTAATACTCCGTTGTAAAATGTAACTTTGCTTCATCTGGAAAAACTATTTATTTTGGTTTGTGATGAACAACAAGTTGGGGCAGCACCGAGTCCAACCACAAAGAAATTAATTGTCTGGATGCAGCTAATTATTTGGAGGGTTTTTATTTTCTTTTTAATGAAAGTCTATTTTTATAAAATGTAAGGAGTAAAAGTAAAAAGTTTTCTAAATAAATAATTACTCCAGTAAAGTATAGATACCCAACACTTCTACTTAAGTGAAGGTAACAAAGTATTTGTAGATTGTTGCCGACACCTCTGGAGCAGAAACACTCACCTGCTGCCATGAGCTCTGCACCGGTGGCAGCCTGTGTCGTTCTCCACAGGCAGACATGCTGTGGACGTTCCTAAGCAGCTAACCGCTGTCTGAGGGAGCGTTGATGCAAAGTGAAAAAGGTTTCATAATTAAAAGACAAACATGGCGCCACTCTCCCAGCAGTCGACCTTTCTCAGTGTTTACTTGTTGACGCGTGTCAGCGCTGGGTTTCAGGTCCAGTTTCCATTGGGGGTCACCTGTGGAGGCGTTCAGCCTTTGCTTTGTTCGCCATGCTGCCGTTTTCCTTCCTCCTGTCTGCTGAACCGTCTCCCTTTGCTTCAACAAACCCAGCTCCTAGCATGACTCCTTTGCCCTGCTCCCTTCACTCCATACTTGCCTCCTTTCCTCTCCATCCTTCAGTCTTTGCCTCCATTTCTCCTTCACTGTTTCAATGACATGTTCGGGTAATCGAGTGCCTCCTAGATGTCAGCTTTCTCTTTCAGCTCCAAATAAATCTACGTCGTGAGAAAATCTTTTAGGGAAAATGTCCTCCTTTATCCTTAGAGACATGCTTTTCTGTTGACTTGCTCAAATAGAAAGTGGAGTTGCAAATCGGAAGGGATCAAATATGAAAGTAGGTAGCTGGGGTTGTAAACATGTCTTTCTTTCTTCATCCTTATATTTGACTTGTATGCAGGTAAAAATATATCATCTGCCTTCATTTGAACTCGGATGCACATCTGAAGTCCTCGCTTGCACTACTTGCTGCATGTTTTTTTTAATTCTTTGCATTTCTTTAAATTAATTATGTTTGTTTTAAGGCTTTACATTGTTTCTAATGGGGTTCATTGTGTCCATGAAGCTTTGTGTGTTCTGCAGTCGTCTGTTTATTTTTAGCCGTCCTAATTAACACCCTGTCATCATCTGCTGATTGTTTGTGACCATTGGGACCCGAGGCCAGAGGCCCGAGCGCACACACAGCCCTAACATGACAGAAAGCGATAGCTCTCATTAAATCAAAGACAGGCTTATTTTTATCTATCACACCCTTTCTTTACAAGTGTTGGGGAATTGTGAGAATTGGCAGAAATTCACACCGTCTGCACCTCTGCCAGCCTGATCTCCACCAATTGTAGCTCTGAATCCATGTTCAGTTGAAGAAAACTGAACATCCTGGCTTATTTATTTATTTATAGGGCTAGTTAGCATTTTTGATCACTTTCACCCCCCTTACAAATGGAGTCTAGAAGCACAAGATCTATATCCAGCCATTTAAGCAAAGATGCTGCTACATGGCTGTAACCTTATTTTAGCATCTGACCAATCAGATTAGCCCTTGAATGATACATTACCTACTATAAATTAAGTTGAAAAAAGTTAACAAGTCAAGAAAAAAAGGTAAAAAGTTAATTGAAAAGTTAAAAAGGTAAAGTTAAAAAGTTAATAAACGTAAGTAACAATTATAGGTTTTAGGTTTATAACCTAAAAAATATAGGTGCCAGTTTCAGCATTAATGCCTCTGCGGCCAGTGGTACACTGTACGATTTTTTGCCCTTTTCCGGCCGACTTTCCAGTCATGCGAGAATTTCAGCCTGATGGTGTGGTGTACAGGCGGTAATGAGGGGCGATCAGCCTCTCACGACCACCTCCCCATCAGGATTCGTAGAGTCGGGAGAAAACCAAACATGTTTGATTTTCAGTCGACCGTCATAAGGTGGTCGTGGGCTGGTTTGGCTTTTGGATAGACGAGTCTGAGTAGCTCCATCATGTGGTTTTTGGACGTACAGTGTAAGCAGGTAGATCAAATCAGAGCATCATGCTACACGACAAACATTGTGAGCTGTGAACTCACACTGTAGGATGAAACCCTGTAGGTTGGTCCTACAGTGTGAGCTGTAGCTGCGTGCAATGACTGAAAAAATCGCACAGTGTACGCCCGGCTTAAGGTTATGTTGTACCAAAAAAATTGTGTTTCTTTCACTCTCAGAGTGTTTAACAGGATTTTCTTATAGAAGCACTTTATTTTTCTTAAAGCTACAGTGTGTAATAATTGCAGGGATATAGAGTCAGATTACAGAAATGTAATATATTATACATAACTATGTTATTTATCATCATCTACGAGCTCAGCCTCTTAACCTTAATATTTGCGTTGCCTTAGAATTCGTTATTTATAATTACATAGGAGCGGGTCTCGCAGCCATGGAGGCAGACATCTTTGCGCTATGGCAGCGCAGAGCCAACAAACTAGCGATTGTGAGATCGCCCATTACGCTCAAAAGTAACTACGGCAAGTTGAGAGAGATGAACTGAGACGGTACTGAACAATAGATGGCAGTATTAAAATTATCTATGTAAACAAACCTCATCACTTGAGAAGGTAGGTGATGTTGACGTCGTGGAAGACATTTTGTCCCGTAACGCTCGCCGTACTGTTGGGGGGGAGAAGCAGTGGGGGGAGATGTTCATGTTGCTGCGGTCTGCAGTCTGGACGTTAGATGTCGCTGAAAATTACACACTGTAGCTTTAATATATTCGGGGAAGTTGGCTTTTTTTCTTATTCCATTGACATTAATTTTTCCCTTGAAAATATTCATATTTTTTTAGTGTTACTAATGTAATAAGGTCTTGTCCTGGATTGCAATAACACTTGAAAATTTGATTTTCAAAGTATTTCACTTCAGGGATAACAGGCCTCATAAAAGTAAAAACCGATTGAATCCATTTGAGTTTTGTTGCATTTCAAACATGGTAGCTTCTTTTTCAAAAAATTAAGAAAAAAAAACAATCCAATTTGAATTTGAATTGAAAAAGCTTCCTGGATGGGAAGCGAAACATCTTCAAACTTGGAAACAAAGTCCAGTGGATTGTTTTTTAAACTTTTTTGGAATGACTATGACCTGGATGACAGAGAATCAGCATGGCAGCGACTTTGTTTTATCTCATCTGACCTTCATTTCTTTATTGGTTTGAAACCTTAGTGGTGGATTTTAATGCTAATCCAGTCCCAGTTAGAACGGAATCAGGATAAATTTGGTATGCTGATTGTTTAAAAGCATGCAGCAACTCTCTTTGAAGTGGAGAGACGTCCAGGAGAAGCTGGCTGAGGAGGAGCAGCCGTCTGCTGGGATCCAACATTCTGCTGGATGTTTTTATTTTACACTTGGATTGGGACCCAGACTCCCATCTCTTTGAGTTGATCCGTCTGTCCTGTAGAAAAGCTGGAACAGTCTTGGCTCAGCATGTAGATGCACCATTAATGACATCATCCCCGTAGAGCTTTGTGTTATTGGGACTACACCAGAGTGGTGGTCCAGCATCATCGTCTCAGCCAATAGAGATTTGGAATTCACCACTGATTCCCACTTTTAGCCAATCATCTAAAATCCATAACTGTTTCTCTTTAGCCAACTGGAACCCTGACAACCATGGACTCCTGTTTTTTGCCCGTTTGTTTGTTTTCTTTGTCGTGCATTTTCTGCTTTACGTCGACTTTTTCTGGCTCCAAGCCTCCATATCTGCCAAGGCGTCAGTGTTTTCTGTTGGACCTGCTTCAGATGTCAGAATCCTTTCCATTGTCTGAGCTGACGAGGACATCAGCCAGATACAACAGCTTGCTAAGGTCTCCAGCTCTTATTCAGCTGCAGACTCATTCCCTGTAGGTCTCTGCAGGTATGGGTTTTCTAAAAGCACCGGGATTCTATCATTAAACCATCCAAGAAGAAACAGGGGTTCTGTTTTTATGTTGTTTCTTGCTTCTCGTAGCTGCAGGATATCGATGGGGTAGAGTCTGGATGTAGGAGACCAAACAGCAGACGTCTCCTAAGAAGTTTCCTAAGAAGAGAGCCTGAACCTTTTCCTTTTCCTCCTTCCCTCTGTCAGCCTGCTGATCTCTAACAGCAACTAATTCTTTCAATTCTTCTGGATGATTATGAATATTTGAATATTTCTGTCTTGTTAGTTGGTCCTCGGTATCCATAGCAACAGATTCAGAGATGCTGATACAGGAGAAAGCAGTAATGTAGTAGTTTCCTGCATGATCAGCTGCACACCTCCATCCCCCCCATTAACCCCCAGTTTATGTGTCTTCACCCAGCCAGGTCAAACGGCTGGACAAAAATAGAAAACCGTGACCATTTCCTAACTTTTATCAGCAACACTAATCGTTTGTTTATCAACCGGGTGAATAAGATGTTCATTACCTTCCTGTTTGTCTGTCTCTGTCGCCCACAGCAACAACCCTGCACACCGCTACTACTTGGCCACCGACCCAGTAACCGGACAGCTGTACGTGTCCGACACCAACTCCAGGAGAATTTACCGTCCCAAGATGCTCAGCGGCGCCCGGGACCTCAACAGTAAGCAGAAAAAGCTCTGTGTTTGCAGAAATCAAAGCGTCCCGCTCCATCATTCTTTCATATCGGGTTGTTTGGAGGAACCCTGCAGCGTGTGCATCTGTGTTCAGGTAACGGAGAGGTGGTGGCAGGCACAGGTGAGCAGTGTCCTCCTTTCGACGAGGCCCGATGCGGCGATGGGAGGAAAGCAACAGAGGCGCAGCTACTGGGACCAAAAGGTACACCCACCCCCTACCCCCACCACACCTGTGACCCACAGCAGCTGCTTCTAGATCTAGATCTCAGCACACATGACCAGACACCTGTTTGGGTTCACATTAAATTTTTCTCCTCCGCCTGACTTCTAACACTGTGATATCACTCCTTTTGGTGATTTGTTGCTCTAACTGATCTAGGTTGATATTTC